TCCTTTGTCTAGTATCGCAATTGGTGAAGAATTGGTTAGAATTGGAAACACACATTTCTACTATTTGTAGATCTGGATATTCCCAACTAAGAAAAATTAATCGTATTCGTAAATCAGTATCCTAATCTGATACTGAAAAGTTGGTACATGCTTTCATATCTTCTCGCTTAGACAGCTGTAATTCATTATTGTCTGGTCTCCCTGTAACTAAGATAAAACCTCTTATTCGTGTACAAAATGCAGCAGCACGCCTTGTCACTCGTGCTCAAAATTATAACCACATTACAGACATTTTTATTAAACTTCATTGGTTACCAGTTGTACAAAGAATCAATTTCAAATTACTTTTACTAGTGTATAAATCTTTGTATGGTTTTGCCCCAAATTCTCTATGTGAATTAATCGAATTTTATGTACCGTAGTGAGTCGTAGTTTAAGATCTGAAACAAAGTTTCTCATTAAAACTCGTCAGATGAGTAGTAAAAAGTCCAAAATTTAGGTCCTAAACTTTTTAATGAATTACCTCTGTCTGTTCGTTCTAATCCTTTAGTGGACATTTTTAAATCCAGACTGAAAACGCACTTATGTAAATGTGCTTTTAATATTTGACTGATTGTTTATTGTATCAGTGCCTTTGATCTTCATATGTTGCGCTTAATTAAATGAAGTTATTATTATTATTATTATTTGTGTACTTTAAATACCAAACAAAATTAAGGCTCTACAACAGGAAGTTTATATAATATTTTCACTATTCTGAGCACATTGTTCAATAGGGAGGGGGTTCTGAATAGAATATTGTATCGTAAGCAAGCTGAAGTAAAAAAAAACTGAAATGGATGTTATTTAGTTATTTGACGTGTGTACCGTGTTTAGGGTCGAATATTTTTATGATAGCTTACTTGTAAATCCTAAGTTTGAACTTGAGCCAGATGAAACTTAGAATATAATAATAAAGTGTGAAAAAAGGAATCTCATGAATTCATGTTCCCTCTTCAACTTGGAAACAGTATGATTTTAGTATGTATAATAGGGTATCTATTTTAAGTTTCTGCACTCATATTTATATACTGTAGTGTGGCCAGGAATAAAATTAGGACTGGCCCTGGCACACCCCCACTCAGGCATGACTTATTTAGGCCTGTTTAAATATTCAGGTTCATGCTCACACATGAGATTTAGTCAAGCCTAAAATTTGAGTAAGCCTAAGAATAAGCCTGCCTTATTTTCAAATGTGAAACCACCTAATTTAATTTTGTAATGTTTTAATTCGCTGCTGTGATTCTTGAAGAAATGTTTTTATGTATTTAAAAATAATAATAAGAAGAAAATCATTTCCCTTTCCTTTATCTTAAAACTAGAAAATAAAATTCCAACATTTGAAAATATGGTTCTTGTGCTTAAATAAGTGAAATAGAGAGGTGGTGGACTGTACCGTAAACAAAAGTTTATATATTGGTACCCATCAGTATATTTTATTGTAATATTTTTGACATATGAAGTAATATTTTCTATATTATCACATTTGTTTTAGTATATGCACTTCTATAAATGACAATGTCTATATTCATGATAAGTCGTGTTTGAATGATCCAGTATACGATTGCAATTGCTCATCTACATGTGCTTCTATTGGAGTATAGACCTTAGAGTGGAGTTGATGATTCAGAGATGCATTTATAGTAGAGAAAATACAATATGGGCTTTCTTATGCACCCATTAGGCTCCTTGCATCCAAACCAACTTTGACCATTGATAATTACATACTTTCTAAGTTTTAAATTCAAAACAGAAATATTTGATAGGATTGATTGCAATCACCCACCCACCTGTCTGATTGTCATTTTAGACAGGCACTCCAAATTTTCATTTGACAGGCAAAATCTTTACAAACCCGTGTAATTTTCATTGAAAAATTACCAGTAAATTTCAAAATAACCATAAATAATAATAAAAAAAATAGACTACAAGTCTGGCTACAGAATAGCAACAGTTTTTAGAAAGGTACTTTCTATTTCCTGGCTATAACACTGATTGATTGTAGCAATAAAAAGTGAAATATATATTGAATTAGAGTAACTTAATTGTGAACACTATCAATTTTAAAACGTAATCCCAACAAATTTAAAGGACTTCCAACAAATTGACAATACAAACTTTAAAGCTTATAAAACTTGGAGTTTTCACACAGTACTTACAACTGGAATACCTTCCCAACCATTTTTCACCACTGATTTAATAACATCTTAGGTGAAATATTGAAAAGACCTGAATACCTTTATGTGGTAATATTTGGAGATGCAGTTAATGGGCCATTTTTCAAATTTTTAATGGCTAAATCAAAATTCTGGAATTATTCTAAAATTTTGCTACCGTATATACCCGGTACTTAAAATATTTATATCAGGACTTGTGTGTATATCATTGTATCTTACAATGATTCTTCAATATGTTTTGGTTTTGGGGTATGTTTTTGTTGTTGTTATCTATGTTTTACAGCTTAGTGTCAGGGCTGTTAATTTTTACCACTTAGATAAACCACTGTTTTTGCACTTTTGTTCCCAAAATCGTTCTCAATCAATTGCTAATGCAGGCACTTGGTATCGTGAAAAATCTTAATTCATGGTATCTATGAATTCACACACCCAATTCATTTTGAAAAACTGGCTAAAAAAAA